GAGAAAAACACTTCAGTTTCAAAGATACAAATAGGTTGAAAGTAAAAGGTGAAAAATATATAGCAGGCAAACAGTAATCATAAGAGAGCTGTAGTGGATAATGTCAGAAAAAAATCTACTTTAAAACAAGAAATATTACTAAAGATAAAAAGAGACATTTCATAATTATAGTCAATACATCAAGAAGATATACAATTAAAAACATATATGTATCTAACATGAGAATCCTAAACACATAAAACAAAAACTGGCAGAATTGAAGAGAACATAGGGGGTAAGCAAACTTTTTGACATCAGTCTTGGTGATCATTTTTTTTGGATTTGACATGAAAAACAAAGGCAGCAAAAGCAAAAATAAACAAGTGAGACTACATCAAACAAAAAAGCTTCTGCATAGTCAAGAAAGCAATTAACAAAATAAAAAGGCAATATATGAAATGGGAGAAAATATTTGCAAATCACGTATCTGATAAAGGGTTGGTATCCAGACTATATAAAGAAATCATATAACTCAATAGCAAACGACAAATAATCTGATTAAAAACTGGGCAGAGAAACCGCATAGACATTTTTCCAAAGAAGACATACAAATGGCCAACAGATACATGAAACATAACTAATCATCTTGGAAATGCAAATCAAAACCACAATGAGCTATCACCTCACACCTGTTAGAATGGCTATTATCAAAAAGACAAGAAATAACAAGTGTGGATGAGGATGTGAAGAAAAGAGAACTGTTTTGCACTATTGATAAGAATACAAATTGATGCAGCCATTAGGGAAAACATTACAGAGGATCCTCAAAGAAATAAAAATAAAACTCCCATGTTATCCAGCAATTACATTCCTGGGTCTATATCCAAAGAAAATGAAAACAGAATATCAAAGAGATAGCTGCACTATCATCGCAGCATTATTCACAATAGCGAAGATATGGAAACAGCCTGAGTTGGTCAATGGATGAATGGGTAAAGAAGATGTGATATATATACATACAATGGAATATTATTCAACCATGAGAAAGAAGGAAACCCTGACATTTGCAACATGGATGAAGCTTGAGGGCACAGTGAAATAACTCAGATAGAGCAAGGCAAATACTGCATAGTATCATACAATACCACCAACAAAAAAAAATCTAACTCTTAGAAATAAAAATAAAAAGTAGAAATAGAAAAGTCTAACTTTAAGATATAGAAAGTAGAAAAGGGGCTGGCAGGGGCTGAGAGGTAGGAAAATTTAGAGAGGTTCATAAAAGGGTACAAACTTTCAGCTGTAAGATATATAAGGTCTGAGGATCTAATATAAATCATGGTGACAAGAGATGATAATACTGCACTATATAATTGAAGTTAAAAAAATAAGGAAGTTCAGCAAGTTTGTGAGATATGAGATCAATACACAAGAACCAGTTGTATTTCTACATACTAGCATCTGAAATGAAGTGTTAAATAAAACTTGCTGCTGTGTTATATGATAGATACGTTAATTAACTTGACTGTGAAAATAATTTCATGATATATACATATATCAAATTATCACACTGTGCACTTAAATATATGTAATTTATTTGTCAATCATATCTCAATAAAGCTGGGGAAAAAGGAAACCTCTTCCATTTACAAAAACTTAAGAAAATAGAACAAAAGAAGTGCAAGATTTGCACATAGAAAACTATAAAACATTATTGAAAGAAATTAATGATGATCTAAATAAATGGAAAGTCACCCTATACTCATGGACTGGAAGATTTAACAGTGTTAAGTAGGAATACTTCCAAAAGTGATCTGGAGAGTCAATGAAATTCCCATCAAAGTTTCAGTTTGCTTTTTTGCAGATATTGACAAACTGATCCTAAAATTCATATGGAAGTGTGAGGGACCTCTTGAAAAAGAACAAAGTTGGGGGCTTACACTTCCTGGTTTCAAAATGTACTTACTACAAAGCTACAAAGCATTTGAGTAGACATTTCTAAAGAAGCTATACAAAAAAATAGTCAATAATTACATGAAAAAATTCTCAGTCCCATTAGTAATTATAGAAACACATACCAAACCATAATAAACGGATGAGTATAATAAAAAAGACACACAATAATAAATGTTGGCAAGGATGTGGAAAAGTCAGAACACTCATACATTGTTGGTAGAATGTAAAATGATGCAGCCCCTTTGGAAAACAGTCAATAGTTTCTCAGGAAATTAAACATTAGGTTACCATTTAACCTAGCAATTCCATCTCTAGCTATATATCTGAGAGAAATGAAAATATATGTTTACCCAAAAACTTGTACATGAATGTTCATAGCAGTGTTATTCATAATAGGCACAAAGTACAAACAACCCAAATGCCCATCAACAGTTGAATAGAACATAATGTAGTATATCCATATGATGGAATATTATTCGACCTCTAAAAGGAATGAAATAAAGATACATGTTACAACATGAATGAACCTTGAAAACATTATGCTAAGTGAACAAAGCAAGTCACAAAAGACCACGTCTTATATGATTCCATTTATATGAAATGTCCAGAAGGATAATCTATAAAAACAGAAAATAGATTAGTGGTTGCTTAGGGTGGGGTTAGGGTAGGGGAGAAAGTGACTACTAATGTTTTATTTTGGGGGGCGGTGATAAAAATGTTGGGAACTTAGATTATGGTGAACTTGATTATGAATATACTAAAAACCATTTAAATTGGTGAATTTTATGATATGTGAATTATATCTCAACACAGATTTTAAAAACTAAAATGAAAATCTCTTAGGACTGATGGGAGAGACCTGTTATACTAGATGACCTCTAGAACATGGCTCCTCACATTTGGGGGTCTGCTGTGGCTCCCTAAGGTGGAAGATGGTGGCAGCACCCTCCTTAGGCTCAAGCACTGGATTCTAGAACTGAGAAAGAAGCTTTTGGATCTGCACTGGCCTGGCCAAGGGACAAGTGTTAATGGTGTTTCCTCAGTGCTTCCTTACTTTAGGGCTTTCTCACTGTGAGGCCCCCACAGCAATAGGAAAGTGCATTCACACTCACGTGGGTGATCTGTAATCTGAAGAGCACTTTCTCCACCTTTCTTAGTTGAGTGATCACACTAATCCTGAGAGAAATTCTGTTATTTCCATGTAATAGGGGAAACTGAAACCAGAGAGGATGGCCAAGATCAATCAGCATTTAGTGGCAGATTTCATGATTCTCAGCCCAATTTTCTTTCTACTTCCAATTGCGCTGTTTCACATCTACAAAATGTCTGCTCTGCTTTCTGCTGAGAAAGGGGGACAGGCTACAACAGTGTCAGCCCTTCTGTTGTTCTCAGCAGAGATGAGGGCCATTATGGCACCTGTGCAGGATATCAATAGATAAGAATGTAGTTGTCTTGGGCTGAGAGTCAAATGGAGACATATGATGCCATCTGCGTATGGTTCTCTGACAGAGGTCTATGTCTCAGAATCACATGCACATCATATTACCTAGAACTCTCAATGCCCCCTCATCTTTAAGACACATCAAAAACAATGCTCTAGCACTTGGATTTACAGAAATATTTATTAAATGGAATCTGACAGCTTTGACATTACATTTTCAGGTGTGCTTCTTGCAACCTGGTCATTCATCCAGCTCTGCAGGCTGGGGTTCTGAGAATGGAGTGCGAACATCAGGGTCCACAGAGGCTGGCCGTGCCTGTGCTGTGCCCATCCCTCTTCTCCACATGACAGGTGCAAGACCCTGGGTTCTCTCTTCTTGCAATCCTTCTGTGCATGGGTTTTCTGCCTAGGACACCTCCCCATTAGGAACTGGGCACAATTCCCACTTATCCATACCCCATGTTTCATATTATTCACTCTCGCCTGATTGTGACTCACAGATCCTGAAGTCTCTCCTCAGTGGCAGGTAAAGAAACAGCTTTACTGCTTCCCCCATGGAGGACTTATGGGAATGTGTTTGCCTTTATTCACCTGGTTTTATGTATGAAGTGGGTTACTAAAGAAAGAGGTCTGCTTATGTGAGACACTTGCTGAATTTAGGTACCAAAATGATACTAGCTTCTGGTTGGCTATTTCCATACTTTTGCAAAATACCTTGTAGAGGGTGTTGAAAAGGGTACCAAAATGAACACACATTTCTTATCTAGACCTTAAAGTATGTGCCCTGAGGTATGTTTTGCAGAACTGTTGTGTTTGCTCACACACACGAACTGGAGAGCCATGTAACTGTTTTTTCGGATTGCTCATTAATTAAGATTGCCTGTGAAGAAGTGTTTGCTCTTTCTTGCAACAATCCCATGACCAAAGATACTTTTTAGAAATGAAAACTACATTGCAAGTCCTTTAATTAAGGAATAGCTGATGGAAATTTCTTTGCTCAATCTGGGTTAACTGTCACTTTCATGGCCTCATGACAGAGAGCTAGCCTGCCTGCTCACTTTTCTCCTTTCCTCCCTCTTCCTCTCCTCTTCCTTCAATTTTGAACAAACATTTTTATTGTTGTTGTTCTGCTACCAGGCATCTAAGCATGGCAGAACCACTTCTCAGTGCTGTGTGAGTCTTCAGGGCATTACCTCTGTGGTCCCTGCATATAATAGTAGGCACTGTGTCCTGTGCTGTGGCATTCACTGCTGAAGGTTGACATTGGTTTTCAGGATCCTTTAGGTTACATCATCTACTTGGAATCTTGGAAAAGTTCATGTGGTTGGGATGCAGAGAGACCTCAGTGATGCTTCTGGAATGAGTGTCGCTCATCTGGCCTGGCTCTCCCCACAGTGAGCACAGAATGGCATTGTTTCCCTGAGCAGCTCTGTGACTCTTTGCTGCCCAGCACCAGCTCCAGAGCAGACAGAATGCAGCTCACTGCTGGGTGCTGCTCCACCCTCTGCAGGCCTGCAGCTTGGACTGTCCTCCCCATTCTGAGCAATATCGGTTAGGGGTCAGGACCCATGGCTACCTTCAACTCCTGCTTTTGACATGCGTAAGTTTCCAGTGCATCCCTGGGCCTTCAGAACGGAGATCTTGCCTCAGAGATGGGACAGGCCAAGTCCTTGCTAAGTGCTGGGCTCTGTGTCAGGAGCAGAAGAAGCCTGGTGGCTTCTCCTGGGGCTGAGGCAGCCTTGTGTGAAGTGGGTGTGACGATCTCTTTGGGGGAAAGCACAAGGGTTTTTCCACTCTGTGTCCAGAAGGAGGAACTTGTGCTGGCTTGAGGCAGCGTGGGCTTCATTTGTACTTCCCTCAAGGCTTCTGCAAGACCAGACAGGCTACTTGATGGCCCCAGAGGCCCAGTCATCACAGGATATCTGGTTACCCATTGAAGAGCTGACCTGCGAAGACTCTGTGCTCCCTAGAGGGCCCACGGATATCAGGAAACTTCACACAGGGCCATCAATCTAGGCAGACCCCTCACTGAGTGTCCCCTAGGCTGGAGCAAGCAGTTCAGTAGAGGCCAGTGCCCGAGAGAAGACTTTTTTGTCTGAGGTGGAGGGATGATAGGGGTGGTGTCAGAGGTGGTTTCCTCTGGCTCACTGTCCTCATCTTCTAGGCCTTCAGTGAGGGCTGGGATGATCCTGACCACACTGTCTTCAAAGTGTACCTGCTTCTTCTTGGCCAGAGAGTCAGCTGGCTCCAGCGTCAGCTCTGTCAGGGCATCGGGGCACTGGAAAGCACTGGGCTTCCTAGTTCCCTTCAGAATGCTCTTCATGTGGATGAAGAGGGAGCTGGGCCCCTCCTTGAGGGATCCGCGGAAAGTGTAGGTTTGCTCAGTGTCCCCAGAACCAGTGGTGCTAATGGCGCTGCTAGAGGGGTCTGTGTACTGCTCTGGAGGGGCTAGCACCTCAGGGGCAGCTTTACTCTTCTTTTTTGCAGGAAAGAGGCCAGGCCAGTGATGATGAGCATGGAACCTGGAAGAGATCTGGGAGGTCAGGATGCAGGATATGTCCTGGAGAAAAGCCAGAGGCTGTACGGGCCCACTGTTCCAAAAGGCCACTGCAGCATTCTTGTGTGGCTACGCTCAGGCCCCCTGTGCCCTAGTCTTTTCACCTAACTTGTCCTCACACAACCACATCAGACTCAGGTGGCAGGCCTGACACCCAGCCGAGGCATGTCAGCAGGGCCAGTACCATGCTAGGGCCCTTACCTTGACCATTAGCTAGAGGACACTGTGCCTGAGGCTCCCTTCCTATTGACAGCTGACCCTAGTGCTGCCTAAACAGCCTTCTGTCACCATGCTCAGTGTCCCTCTCAGAATGACTTGTTGGAGGTGGACCTGTGATACCTTCACTGGGCTTGGACTCTGTCTTAGATAC